ACTAAGTTTCCTCAGGCCAGCTTTTGTGTTCTGCTCGATGCAAATGTGGAGATTCCGCCTGGATGCAAGTTTACGTATAATGGGGAGGAGTATGAGGCTACTGGAGAGGAGGGTACTCGTACGGACAGAAGGTGGGAGAGAGGAGGAGACGGTACACAGCAGATTGAGAGGAGGAGTCGGAGGAGGAGGCTGAAGGAGCTGCTCTTAGAGTTCATGGAATCACATGGACTGAAGGCCGCCAACACTTTCAGTACTAGGAGGCATACCTGGGAGTCGTGGGGGGAGAACAAGTTTCTGACTTCGAAGAGGGTCCTGGATTACCTACTGGTCCCTCACCGTTGGGAGTTCTCGGATCTGGAGGTGAAGTGGTGTTTCAAGAGGGGTGGGAAGAAGCAGTTCAGTAGATTATCCGATCACGCAATCATCACGGCGAGTTTCACTGACCCTGGGAATGTGATTGTTCGTCGCCCTGACCCCCAGCCTGGTCAGAAGTCTAGGCCGTCTCTGGTCGGATACAAGTGTTCGACTTGGGCTGATGAGCATCAGGCTCGACAGCATGTGGATTCGAATCTAGGCGGTGCTGCCTTCGCTCGTTCAAGGTGTCCGTCTGTGACCTGTCCACAGTGTCTGCAGAGTACTATGCTGGAGGCGTACTTATCACCGACGGTGGACTACTCCACCACGGGTGCGAGAAGACCGAGAGAGCCGTGCAGGCCGGTGCAGCTCACAAGAGCCGAGGAGGAGGTTAAGATGTGTCCGAAGGAGGATGTGGAGAGGTTGAGGAGGTTAAAGAATGAGGCTAATCGTCTACGCAGAAGTTATCGACGTGATATGATTATGTGCAGATGCCCCCCAACAAAGCGTAAGGTCAGATATACTATCAAACATTTAGTGGTGGATGGGAGGGAGACGGAGGACCGTGAGGAGTGGAAGGAGGAGCTCGATAAGTTCGTTCGTTTCAAGGTGTCGTCCGAAGAGATACGCAATTCCACCAACAGTATGATGGAGGAGATCAGGATGAGGGCTGTACATGAAGTACGATCCACATCAGTTGTGGGAATTAGTATGGCGCTGCTTCTCAGAGCACGTGCTCGGCTGAAGACCCAGGGGGCTACTGGGCCAGACGGGATACCGTGCGAGATTCTAAGGAGCTTGCCGTGGTGTGCTCTCAGAGCGATCCAGAAGTTGTTCGATAAAATCATCAAGCTCACGATTCCGTATCCTCAGTCGTGGCGTGAGATTCTCGTCTCATTTATGCCAAAAGCTCGAGGGATTACTAAGTTAAAAGACGGTCGTTTGCTGTGTATGCAGAATGCTGTTTCGAGATGGTTCAGTTCCTGCATTGTTCTCCTGGTTGAGGGTCATATTGAAAGAAACGGAGTGTTTCGTCATATAGGGTTGTATGGTTTCCAGGAACATCGTCGTACACACGAAATCACGGCTAGCATCAAACACATAGGTCAACATGCTGCACAATGGGGAAAAGGGGAAACGGCACACTTGGCGAACGCTGATGTCCTCCAGGCGTTCGATCACTGCACGGTGGCCAATGTCAGGCGCGGGTTGGATCATGCGAGTGTACCCCTATACCTACAGTATGCTCTACTTAACCCCTTGTGCGAATGTGTAGGCACTGTCTATTATGATGGGATTGAGGTGGTGGAGGTAAGGTGGGACAAATGTATTCGGACGGGAGGGCCTGAGGGCCCGTTGGCTTTCAACCTTCTTGTTGCTGCTATGTGGGGCTCCACGATTCGAGAATGGGACGTACTAGGACTAGGTTATCGTATTGAGTTTGCGACTGGCTCGACTAGCTGTGTTTCGATTATTAATCACTTCCTTTGGGCGGACAACTGTTATGTATTGGCTCGGAGTCGGGAGGAACTCACGCGCATGTTATACGGTCTAACTACACAGTTACATGACTATGGCATGAAATGGAAAGAGTCCAGCCTATTGTACATGGTGTTCGGGGTTGATCCTCCGCGAGATGCGGAAGGGGAAATACTACGCACTGCTGATCTTGTTCTCTCGATGGGGTCGGAGGAGTCGGGAGTGTATCGATTTAGAAGGGCGACGGAGATGAAGGTGCTTGGGGCTCATATTTGTTCTGAACTACATGTGAATGAACATCCAGATTTGAACGCTAGTATTGACTCTGCTCGCAGGGCCTTCTGGGGGCAGGCGACCTTCTCCCGCTCCACGGCCATCCCGTTGAAAGATAAATCTGAGAGGTATGCTCAGAGAGTTTAGAGTATTGTGCTCTACGCGGCGGAAGGATGCACGGTCGATTCTAGTTCATTGAGTGCCCTTCATATCTTTGAGGGTAAGTGCCTGGCTGTTATGTCTCGTTGTATACGGAGGGAAGGGGAAAGTTATCAGGAATGGAATACGAGGGGGTATGAACGTGCGAGACAAAAATTTCATGATGCTCACTATGCGGGTATTGTACAGAAGTTTCTCAGAGTGCACTGGATGTGGGCAATCGACATTCATGATTTTGCCCATAGGTTGATCACAGATCGGGAGGCGCTGGAGGCAAACTCGACGAGAGCTTGGAGAGATTCTCGTTTCTCGTGCCTGGCGTTTGGCCGACTGTGGGATAGAATGAGGACAGATTCAAGCGAGGCTCTCAGATGTTGGGGGAATTGGAAGGAGGCCAGCTCAATGAAACGACATCGGGGGGGACAGGAGAGTGTAGGACTTCGTCCGTGGTACTATTCATTGGAATCGTTTTATGGTTTATCCTGGTGGGATTTCTTTGCTGGAAGTTTTGAACATTTCATGGATTTCGCTGCAGATGTTTGTTCTAGTGCTATGTTGAAGTATTTCCCAAAGAAGTGCAAAGGTTTGGCGTCCTCAGGGTGCCTGTGTTCTTGAACTTGGATGAGGATGGAGGGGTTCATATTGGTCAGGATCGGGAGGATACACCAGCATATAGGGATCGTCTCAGCAAACGTATTGCGTTGCATAACATGCGTTGTACACAGTGGGACCTCGTTACGGACGGGATACCACTGGATATCCAGGGGGACTCACTGCTTGTAATTAACTGGCTCTGCGGGAAATGGAAAGTATTAGCTCAGGTATATCAGAAAAGGGTGGATACTCTGATTAATAAGTTGGACGATATGCAGGAAACTTACTCGGTGAGGCCTCCAGAGGCTGGCCGTGACTTCTTCTCTCATTCTTTTCGGGAATGGAACCAGAGAGCTGACTTACTGACCCATCAGGCCCGTCAGGGCCACGTGTACGCCGATTTCGTTTACCTCAGCGATTTTGAATCTCAGTGTTATATTCCTTGCCTTATCAAAGCCGGCTTTGATGGGGGCGTTTGTAGCCGCGGAAGTGCCTGTGGTGTATGGATACAGATTGGTCTGCGAAACAAATATATCTTCTCGCGGACCGACATCATTTTCAAGGATGTGTATCTCGCGGCTTGGTGTCTGCCACCAAGCGCCACTGTTGCAGATGCGGAGCTATCAGCGGCGGAGCGCATATGCGAGGTGCTCCCACAGGTTGTGCAGACCTTCTTTGATCATTCGCAGTGATATGCCACACATTGTTTCTTCTTTTTCTGTGTTCTTGTTTATTCCAGCAGCTTCGCTGTTCACTGACTCATTCGTTTATCTTTGTGTGCTTTGCGTTTGATTGTGTCATCGCGGCATGTGATTCTCTTTATTCCTTCAGCTTCGCTGTGTGGTATAAGAGCTGACTGCTTGCGTGATGAATAAGAGGCTCTGTTTCGCCTGATACTTTGTTGGACCTGGCCTTAGTGGCCAAGACGGTCCCAGCAAAGACGCAATATACGCAAAGCTTACCTCCTGCTTAGCCTGGCCTCACCGCTGGGGTCCCCCTCGTTTCCAGCTGCAAAGTGCAGTGAGGTGTCCTTTTGTTCCTCATACTGTACACGGTGCCTCAGTGTCTGTTTTGCCTGAGTACTGTACATCTTCTTTGCTTGTCGGATGGCACATTGCTGTTCTTCGTGCACGTGTCGGCATGCACTTTCTTTGTTCAGCGGTATTCATTCAGTGCTACTTCATTTCAGAATCATTCTGTGCTTCATTCAGCGGTCTCCATTCATTGTCGGCATACTCTTTCTTTGTGTACACATCTCTTCATTCAGTGCTACTCCACGTTCACATATCTTCATTCAGTGCTTCATTCATCCTGCGCCCTGTTGCACTCTATCAGCACCAATGGCCGATGCTCGGATGTCGGATGCGGAGGCCAACGATCGGAAACGGAGGCGAGATTTGGAGATGGCAGAGGAGAGAGCCAAAGAGTTGCAGCAACGTCAGTTGATCCTCAGTCAATCTAGCGATTCAGGTTTCAAGGCCTTCCTCGAATGGACTTTTGACAAAGATGATCGATCCAAGCGTGAGAGTGAGGAGAGCCGTCAATTACTTCAGACTCTCCATGAGAAGACGGACAAAACGGAAAAGGCTGTTGTGGATCTCCAGAAGCAACAGCACGCTGATTCTGCGCGCATCACGGCCCTCGAGCAGCAGATGAAAAACGGTTCTCCTTCCCTCGGGGGTGCTTCGACTCGCTCGGGTGCCCCTTCTGACTTTGCACCGTCTTTCGTGGAAGCATACGGATGGGTGGAGGACTGGACTTCTGCTGAGACGCGTAATCGTACATCTATCTCTGACAGGAATGCTTACCAGTTGGTCACTAATTTGTTAGCCGTGCTGGAAACGAAAGTTCCTCTTCTTCGTGCTAATGTCGACCCTATGGGCTCATGTCGTCTGCAGGGTAATCGTGCATCATACGCGAGTGTTCGGATCAAATTCAATGCGGGCACCGAGAACGATGACCTTTGGGGCGCTAAGAAGATCTGGGAAAATGCTTGGAACGATGCAGCTCAGAAACATTTGCTTCTGGATCAGATGACTGGATATGGTGCCAACTTCCCCTCGCGAGTGAAGTTCAGGGTTGAGAGCGCACCGTGGAAGACACCACACCTCCAGGCCATCGGTCGGTTCCACGGGATCTGGGCCAGAGACTCGTGCCTTCGCAACATCTCGCTCAAAGGAACGGCTGGCAGCGGTGCTACACCCTCTGAGATGTGGACTGACCCAGCGGATGACGGCAATCGAAAGCAGTTGGGTGATTTCGCCGCCGGTGGCCAGTACGGTGGTTCGGGCCAGTGGCGTATCATCAAAGAGAACTGGGACGCCTTTGCGCTGCTACATCGTCTGGCCATCACGTCAGAGACGATGGAGCAGAGGCTTGCTACCGTCAACCGTCGTTGACAAACGTCGCGGGGCTCGGGTGCAGTCTCTGTCGCCTGCGCCTCGCAGAACATCCAGAAGGCGGGAAAGGCCGCCAATCATCAGTATAACGTGCTGCGTCTTCTCTCTCACGATGTCCACTGGGACCTGCTGGGCTTGCAGGAGTGTGAGAATGTCGACTTTAATTCAGACTGGTTCGCCAAGTTGGGGGTTTGTGCACAGCTATCTTCCTGTCGCAAGGCAGGCATATTGTACCGTGGGGGAACGGCAATGCGTGAGCAGTCTAGTGGCGACAGATGGGTGGCTGTCCTTTTCAATCGGGTTATCTTCGTCTCACTCTACCTTCCCGACAGCTCTGTGGGGGAGGCTCTCAACATCACGGATGTTTGCCTTCGTTCTATTTCTCTTCTCAGGCGGTACTGGGAAGGCTTGCATGGTTCTCTCAAGTTGGTTGTTGCTACAGATGCGAATGTGGAAGTCAGACCACATCTCACGGACATCGAAGGCACCGCCTTGACGGGCCCAGGCCTGCTAGGCGCTGATGTTTGCCATGGGGATGGTGGAATGGAGAGGGAAAGGAGGAGGAGGAGGTACTCGTTACTACGTATCAAGGTGGAGGACTGGATGATGGAGGGGAGCTTGATTGCCAGCAACACGTTCAGGGAGAGAGAGATCACATGGTACGGATATCGGACAGGGGCACGAGAGGCGGGGAAGGTCTTGTATTATGTGCTAGTATCTCGTGGCACCGTGTTTGCGCCTGCCTCGGTGTCCTGGCCTCGTGAGTTGGGCAGTACTCGCAGGTTCAGTGATCACGCGTTGGTGCGAACGGAGTTGCAGCTTGATAGACCAGTCGTCGCGCCCAGATACGTTGCACGGGCGGTGCGGTGCCTATCCAGATGGATGCCGCAGACCTGGCACGACGGCTGCTCGTTTCAGACACGTCTCGACTCGTCAATCGACGCGAGCCTCAGCCTCGGAGAGATTGAGAAACGTTGTCATCGTGAGGCGTCTGCTACTTCGACTGCCCCTTGCTCGTCTATGCTCCCTCCCCGTCGGCACCCTGAACTTATTCGACTGCAGGAGGAAGTGAAGAGGTGGGAGGGGGACAAGACGTCGGAGGATTTCAAGAAGCTCTGGAGGAGGAGGGACCAGGAGAAGAGAACATTCGATAGGAGATGGATGGCTTGGAGGTTCTCGGAAGGGCGGAGGAGGACACAGAAGCACACGATAGAGAGCGTCCACGGGTCCGTGGATCGGGTCGATTGGCACGCTTCCCTCTTGGATCACACGCAGAGCTACACAGATGTGGACGAGCGCGAGCGTGCCCATCTCTCTCTGGCCTCGCTGCGTGCACGCGTGGCTGCTGGATCCCAGGATGTTCCCCGTCTGCCTGTCTCAGCGGTGTTTCGAGCTCGTTCTCGTCTTCATACGGCAAAGGCGTCAGGGCCAGATGGGATCCCCGCGGAGGTGCTCAAAGAACTCCCGTATCGGATCGTCCGAATGTTTGCTGATCGTTTTGATGAGATATTTCGTGGTCTTCGTGCCGTGCCTGAATCTTGGCGTCAGACCTTCATTACCCTGATGCCGAAAAAGTTGAAAAAGTGGTACTCGTCGTCGGTCCTTGTCGTCCTCGAGCCCTACTTTACCAAGGTGTTGCCCCATATCTCGCTCTTCGGGTTCGCGGCCGAGCGCTGCTGTGTGGAGATCTCGGGGGCCCTCAAGTGTGCGGCCCAACGCGCGGCCGTCTGGGGAAAGGATAGGTCTCTCCTGATCGCCAGTTTGGACGTCAAACAAGCTTTCCATAATATGACGGTTCAAAAGATCTCACTTGCGTTCGACAGACTCGGTATTCCTCCGTATCTCCAGCTGTCTCTTCTGGAACCCCTTGCTGACGAGGTCTCCACGGTGCTCTTCGAGGGTCTCGGGGTCCCTGAGGTCAAAGTTGACAGGCACGTCAGGACGGGAGGAAACGAGAGCCCAGCATGTTGGAACGCTGTAGTGGCAGCCATGTGGGCTGATATTGTTCAGGACTGGGACAAGGGAGGCCTAGGCTACGAGTGTATCAACCCTAACCAGACAACGGAGACCGCCGTGGTGAATCATCTCATCTTTGCTGACAATGTGTACATCATTGGCTCAGGCCTTAACCCCAAGGCTTTTCAACGACAGTTGGATGACTTTACTCTTGCTTTGCATCAATGGAAGTTTGATTGGAAGTTTGATAGCTTACAGTTTGCTGCTATTGGTTGCTCCCCTGGGAAGTTCTTTACCAGTATCCATCGCTGTAATATTCCTGGGGATATCGGCCTCGACGGTGTTGATGAGTACGTCAGTATCGAGCTGCAGCAGGTTTCCGTCCTCGACGTACTGGGAATTGACATCGCTGTTTCTTTTCGCGAGCCGCATGTCGATGTGGATCGCCGTCTCAACGCTGCTCGCAAGGCATTCTTTGGGCATGTCCAATACTTCCGATCCCGTGCGGTGCATTGGCATCTGAAGTTCAAGCGTTATCAGTCCATCGTGCAATCTACCCTGCTCTTCGGCTCGGAAGGGCTGACGTGAGAAAAGGACTCGCTTCACAAAATCCATGTCTTTGAGGGCACATGTTTGCTGAGGATGTGTCATAAATCGAAACCTGCCAGCCTGTCCTGGGATGTGTGGCGCCCTGCTCGTCTGCATGTGGTCCGCAAGCTATTTCACGATCATGGGTTTCAGAGTTCGGTTCAACGTTTATTGCACCGCTCGTGGTTGTTGGCCAAAGATGTTGCGGAGTATCATGCTACCAACTGGGATGCTGCTTATGTGAATCGTGAAGATTGCAAACGTCGTCGGCTGGCTCTCCCCATTGCTCCTCCCATCGGTGCCCGTGCCTGGAGGGGCGCGAGAAGGATGCTGCTGTGTTCTTGTCCATCGTGGGAGGGTGCCAGTTCAGACTTCAGTGAGGTCCTCAGGCAGAAGGGATCGTGGAAGGAGGCCAACGCTCTGAAACGTATTCGTGTCGGAGCCGGTGCTTCATGAGAAAGACCTTGGAGTTATATGGCACATATTCTGTTTGGGGCCTCTTGGTGGAAGCACGGTGAGTTTTCCTGGAAAACGTTTCTCGACAAGATGCCTGATTGCCTGAAACGCTGTGGCCACGAGAAAGCGTTTGAGTATTTCGTGTATTCTGGAAAGGGGACGGACTCCGTGGTGGAAAAGAAGTCTTGGGATGAGTTGATGTCTCAGGAGGTGTCTGGAGCGGAGGCGGAGAAGTTATCCAAACGGTTAGCCATTCTAAATGAAAGGGCGACGGTCTGGGACGTTGTATCGGATGGGCTCCCAGTGGAGTTCTGCGGAGATAGCTTACTTATTATAAATTGGGTTAGTGGGAAGTGGAGGGTGGCAAATAATGTGTATCAAAAGAGAGTCGATAAGCTGGTGGATGAGATTGGGTGGCTGGAAAATCGTTATCATCTCAGATCCAGTTTCCTTGGTCGTGACTTCCTCAAACATGAATTCAGAGAGAACAACCAGAGGGCGGATGCCCTCGCACATCGTGCGCGGGAAGGCCGCGAGTGTTACACATTGAGGCCTGTTCCACCCGATCATCTAGAGTATCATGAGCTTGTTGCCCTCCGCGGTCGTTTCGACGGCGGAGTGGATGCGTCTGGTTGTGGTATTGGTTTCTTTCTCGAGGCTGCCTTTCTCCCCCATCCTGAACATCGCTCCAAGCGCCTGCGGCATTCCGCTGCCCCCGTCTCGCCTCAGCCTGCTGCCTTCTGTGACGGTCTCGTTTGGAGAGATGTTGCGGAGGCTGCCCTTCTCCTGCCTAGAGATATCACAGTCACTGATGCCGAACTGACGGCGCTGGAGCGCCTCATTGGGGCGGCCGAGTGCGTGCTGAGAGCTCGCAGAGAGCTCGAGGCGCCCTGCTGGGCGTTTGGCTCGGGCAGGCTTCGACGGAGCCTTCGCTGCCCGCAAAACCGCAAAAAACCAGGTTGACGGTTGACCGCCGGCGCCAGTATCGCCGGGGGACTCGTAGAGCTTCCTGACAATATATAATGTCGAAAAAATATTGCAGAGAACGAATAATTTTTCAGCCTAAGCGATTTCAGACCTCTCGATGCAACGGCCAAACGCCCCCGATGCGTCTGGATTGTCTTCTGTACGAGCTCTGTAGCTCTCCTACAGCCCGAGTTACGTGTGTAAATCGACAGCATCTCTCAAGATGACTCGAACAATACGAATCGTTTGCCAAACCTAGCTCGAGTATCAGACCGAGTTCAGACGTCTGAATGTGACAGGCGAACGCGTCTGATGTCTCCGAATCGATTCCTGTGATTACCGACCCTGCCCCCCCCTACAGCCCGAGTTGAGTGCAGAAAACCGACAGCACCTCTCAGGATGACTCGAACAATGCGAATAGTTTCGCGGACCCAGTTCGGGCAGCAGACCGAGTTCCGAGCTCTGGATTCGACAGCCGGACGCGCCTGATGCAGCACTGTGGACGCCTCAGAGCTCGAGTTAAGTACAGAAAACCGACAGCACCTCTCAATATGACTCGAAAAATACGAATAGTTTTGCCATTCTAGATCGGACAGCATACCCGAGTTCAGAGATGGATTCAGCAGACGAACGCGACTGATAATTCTGAACGGTTTTTGTAAGCGTCAGCTCGAGATAAGTGCAGAAAACAGAGAGCGCCTGTCAAGATTACTCGAATAATACAAATAGGTTTGTGGACCTAGCACAGCTAGCAGACCGAGTTCAGACCTCTCGATGCAACAGACGAACGCGTCTGATCATTCTGAATCGATAAGGTGTGCTTGCCAGCTCTGTAGCTGTCCTGTATCTCGAGTTAAGTCCGATATACCGAGAGCGCGTATCAAGACTGGGAGCCGGCGGTAAACCGTCAACCAGGTTACCACTCGTAGAGCTCTTTTCTCGTGTGGGACTGCCCGGTATACATTAAGGCAGTTTCCTTCAATATTTCTGTGCGAGAAAGCTCTCAAGCTCATCTGCAGCTCGAGTTAAGTGGAAAAATCACCATCAGTTCCAAAGTTTTGCAGACCTAGCTCGGGTAGCAGACTGTTCAGAGCTCTAGATGCTTCAGCCGAACGCCACTGACGAGTCTGGATCGGTGTCTGTGCGTACCAGCTTTCCAACTCTGCTA